TCCTTGAGAGCTCTACCTGGCGTTTTTCCCCGTAACTCGTTTATTCTGGTTTTTGGATTCCCCTTCTGCCTTTTCGACTTTGCACCTCGCCTCTCGCCTCGGACTGTTTGCTACCAGAGATCTTCCTGGATTACGATTTGCCTTTCGCCTTTTGACTACGACCTTGCCTCTCGTTTGGTTTGTTCACCTGCCTCATCTATTACCCGTGCCTGCGTCTGCACAGGATCCTTGTATCTTCCCACCAGGGATTCCTAACAGGTACAGCAGGGTAAGGACTGCCTGACAGACAGTCAACTGTAGTGATCTGGTGCATGGGGGGAAATGCTGAAGCAACCAAGTCCATGGAAGTCCGAAATGGGAAGTCAGGGTGCAGTCCGTAGTCCAAAGAGATCCATCCAAGACAAACATTAAAAACAGGAACCGGAACAGGAACAGGAACAAAAAGCATAATGGGACCAGGCGCTCTGAACCCCAGACCTAGACAGTGAGGACGCTGGGGACTAAGGCCTGCCTTCAGGCTACCCGCGAGCCCAGTGAATAGGCAAGCCCTGTGGCGTCCATCTTCTAATACTGAGCCAGGAACTACAGAGATGCTAGGCCTTTAATCAAAATTCAAACGAGACGCACCAGGAAATAACAAAAACTAATCATAACAGAAAGGATAGGACCGCCCCCTGGAGGAGGGATGTGGAACGTAACAGCAACCAGAGTTTGGTGTTATTATTGTAAGCAATTATTAATTATTATTATGATTAATAATTGTTTACACTTATATAGCACTTTTCTGGACAATCCACTCGAAGCACTTTACAGGTAATTCGGACTCACCCACACCACCACCAATGTGCAGCATCCACCTGGATAATGCCACGGCAGCCATAGTGCGCTCACCACACATCAGCTATCAGCTATCAGTGGGGAGGAGAGCAGAGTAATGAAGCCAATTCATAGAGGGGGATTACTAGGGGCCATGAATGATAAGGGCCAATGGGAAATTTGGCCAGGACACCAGGGTTACACCCATATTCTTTTCTTGAAATGGCCTGGGATTTTTAATGACCAGAGAGAGTCGGGACCTCGGTTTTACGTCTTTATTATTCATCTGAAGAACGGCACCTGTTTACAGTATAGTGTCCCCGTCACTATACTGGGGCTTTAAGACCCACATGGACCGCAGGGTGAGCGCCCCCCGCTGGCCCCACTAACACCTCTTCCAGCAGCAACCTTAGTTTTTCCCAGGAGGTCTCCCATCCAGGTACTGACCAGGCTCACACCTGCTTAACTTCAGTGGATTACCAGTTGTGAGCTGCAGAGTGATATGACTGCTGATGTATGCAACCTAATACTAATTTTCACACTCTAAAATTTGCTTAAGAAAGTGAAACTGTTTCATTATCAATGGTCACTTGTAATCACTGGGCTGATTCTAATATCACCAAATGTATGAATAAATCAAACTTATGCCATGTTGTGCTTGTCAGCCATATTAATCTCATGATCATGACTGCAATTAGACTGTGAAATCCAAAATAACAGTTTTTACTAGAGTCTCAATACTATAGATACTGTATATTACAGGTAGATCTAGAAACAAATTCTACTTTTATTACTGATATAGACTGATAGTTTATGTTTCTACCATTTTTGTGCACTAATTAAATAGTTTACAATTCATTCACAGTAATCAAATATTAGAACGTATCAAGAACGTATCAATGTAATAAAAACGCCTGCAGTGAAAAGTGTAAACTGCAGCAATGAAGCTTTATATTTTGCATAAAGGTTTCATGCGATTCGTTCAGTCGTCCTGACCGCCTGGAGCAGCCTGGTCACATGCTTCACATGGCCGCTGCAGTTTAGACTACAAATGATCACATCGTCTAGACCTTACGAGGTTGTAGCAGCCTATCCATCAGACTTTGAAATGTGGCAGGGGCTCCATGCAAACTAAAAGGCAAGTAACAAATTGATGTGGACCTAGAGGACTGGTGAATGCTGTCTTTTCCCGAGAGTCTAGAGCTAGAGGATTTGCCAGTACTCTTTTGTGAAGCCCAAAGCTGAAAAGATGTAATCAGTGCCAGGTCATTCCAGCAACTCATCCCAAGTCTGAGATGTATATAAGTGTCCCGAATAAACTGCTGCTTGTGATACAGTTGGATTTTCAATGTAACAGAACATCTAGAGCTGAGTGGATATGGTGACAGATGAGGCGAGTGAGTGACAAACCAAGTTTTAGCCTTGACATTCATCATCTGATGTTGGTCTCGCATTACTCAGGGGCTTTTTTTTTTCCAGTGAATCCACTAGATCCAGAATCTAGAAATGTCCAGGGATTTGTCATCATTTTTCCCTGCATCTACCAACTGTACCTTTCACTTCCACTCACATTCCCAATGCGCAGTCCCCTCAGGAACTGCTAGCACTGGTTCACCAAGTTGGGTCATGAAGTTTTCCCAGTTTCATGCAGCCATGCGGTCCCTGCTGCTACTAAGGCCCTTTGGCTCTCCATCAGAGCCTGTGTGCAGCCTGCATCTACAGGTAGCTCCTTCCACCCTCTCCTGGAGAGAGCAATGGGTTTTTACAGGAGAACCGCAGCAGCCGCCTCTCAAAGCAGTAACTCGCCCAGGTGAGAAGAAGCACACACCCTGTCACGTGCATCTTTAGTGTCATTTCAAGATTGTGCGATATTACTTACATGTACTGTACAGTATGGTGACATGTGGGTCTTTCATAATTTATTAATGTTAACTTTGGCTGCAGCACACACATTTGTAAATATACTTTAAGTGGATGGTTGGTACTATTTATATAAGAATTGGTTAGATATTGTATGCAAATATTTATTGCTGAGAATATAAATTATGTACTGTAACTATGCAAAATGTGCCAGCACACAAACCTATATAAAAATGTATATAGTAGGCTAAGTGGCATTAGAGTACAGAAAAAGGCATTCATTCATTTTGATTCCGTGACACCACGTAAATAGCCTACATCTTCTATCTGTTATCTGTTTTTCATATACAGTATAGCAGACCTCTTCATCTTCCTCTGTTATCATTGCATCTGTGTCCCTGTGTTTGATGAAGACAGATCGCCAGTTGAAAGCACAGAATTATTCAGGGTTCATTGCTTTCACCAGTGTGCCTCCTACAGACCTTCAAGACCAGTTAAATCAAATATTAGAAAAGAGGCAAAGAAGTAGGCCAGTGCTGCATGTTCACCAGCTGCAATGTTTATGAGTCAGGGATGGGATGGATAGCAAGCAAGCTGAGCAAGGACAGGTGGGAACAAGGAGCTTAAATAGTGAAGAAAAGGGATGTGATTGGAAAATGAGGTAACAAGTGCAATTAATGTGGACAGGTGCAGTCTATGGTCATAACACTTGGACTTTGTTCAATTCCACCACTAACTGAGACCTCTATGAATGTGCAAAAAATCACTTTATTCTTAAACAAGGGAGTAGCATTTCCAGGTATGGAAGGATATAACAAAACCACATATACTGTATAATCCACACACTTCCCATACCAAATTTAACATCAGTCAAAACACACAAACTACCTATTCGTTTTCTTTCATAATTATACTTCCTTTTTAGTTTTTAAAACATTTTCAAAGTAATGACTTTCAGCATTTTATCAATCACATTAAACTGATTCTTAATCACAACTACCCAGAAGCAGTACACTGATTAACTGCAGTATTAAGACAAAATATATTAGAAATTAACATTGTAGGACTGTACTGATATAATCTTATGTAATATAGTATAGTCTTATTGTACTCCTACAAGAGAGTGCAGGTATTCTATATAGGTATGAAGATACATATTTTTTTTCAAATCAGTGTTGTTAACAGGTCCCTTTATTTGGCTGTGCTTATGATAACATCCTTTGTCATATTATTTTTTAAATGTATACTATACTGTATGTAGTGTATTTGATGCATTCTTATTGGTACACTATTAATGTTCATTAAATGCCAACATTACATATATTCTGGAAAACAAATCACAAAAAAACCAAATACACACTGCATTAATTTATTAAATAATCCATGTTATCCAAAATACAAAGAATCCACTTCAGAAATAATTCATTTTCTGAATCTTCTTTGGGTTTTAATCGACACAGACACATTCCTGAAATGATCCTAAAATAATTTTAGTGCCATGCAGCCAAATTACAACAGGATGAAAATAAAGACATATGAAAACATTTATGTCAAATACTAATATATATTTTATACACTGTATAAAGCTTTACATAGTGGATTCCTTATTCATTTATTTTTTCAGCTGATTATCAAAAGGCATCTGACACGTTCAACAATAAGACTAGTATTGCATAATGCAAAGCAGTCACCTAGCATCTTACAAAGCCCATTCCAGTCCATTGTGAAAAATAGAATAAATATGTCTCCAAACTTGAACAACTGTACATTGACACAAGACATTTTAAAGTAAATAAATTACGATATTAAATATTAACACTTATGACTCAAAGTTATGTCTAAAAGTTATGTTATGTGAATGTTCACAGTATGAGCGTGCAGTCAAATCTTCAAGTTGTAAATTGTGCATTAAAACTACAATAGACATTTACAGTACATGTTAGCTCTAAAGCACTACATTTAGCTTATTATTGATGTGTAGACATTACCAATTCTACTTTAAAAAGAGTCATCATTGCCTAACATCAGTGAATTGTCTGTATGTCCCTGTCAATTAAAATAAATAAATAAATAAATGAATAAATATGAAAAAATAAACACCTTTAAAAATGATGAATGTACATAGAAACTTGCAGAAATAATACATCTGACAGAATCATTCCTATGTCCCCAGAATCATACATTCATAATCAAACGTTCATTATAGTCTTACAGTGCAAAAACAAATAAGAAATACAATCAGTGCAATACTGGGGCTGCTGTTTTATTCTGCTTTAACATAGACAGTCTTGAATCCACTGACGTAGATGTTGCTCCTGGTTATCAAATGTGCCAGCAGCATTTTTGACCCAAGTGTCCTGGGAGTGAACCTCACAGCCCTCTCCACCTTCTCACCAGCCTGCAGGACAGGTAATCTGAAAAGCACAAGGCAAGAACGCAGAGGGTTTAATGAATTGAGCTTTGGTCCCTGTCTGTTCTGCCCCTTTCCTGTCAGAACACTCCTTAGGCTCCCAGGCTGCTGCAGTTGAGGACAGAAATACTTCCATTGAATTGAAATTGAGACCAAGTGGAATGTTTCATGGCCACCAGTTATAAAGGAAATGAATCTGAGCCACAGAGAGAGCACAGTAAGCCTACACACAGAAATCCATGAATATTTTGCACACTGTAGAAATACCTACAGTATACTCCCTTTTATTGTTTTAAGCCTCCCTCTAAAAGCATACAGTGATAGATCAAGTAGAAAGTTATGAAAAAATAACAGCAAAGCCCAGACATAGTAAAGCATGTTACAGGAGTAACTTTCATAAGCATTGTAAAACTATGCAAACAGCAAATTACCATGCAGATTTACCATGGTTAACTTTCGCAAGTGCCAGCACTGTACTTGAGCTCTGCTATTTCCTTTAAAAGGAGGAGGCGCTTGAAGACCTCAGTATCTCTCTGAACACCTGCCCTTCCCTAGAGTCCATGAATTCTAAAATCCTAGAGCTCTGATCTTCAAAGACGTGTGCTTTTAAACTCCCACCCACTGCCTGCTGGCGCGAGTGTGCACATTTCCTTAGGAAACTCAGGGTGTCGCCTGCAGGCTTCTAGAGGCATCAGAGCTACAGCTCGGTTTCTGGAGCCTGGCTCACAGCTGGAAAGTGTATCGCCTTCTGTACTCCTGTCACAGGAGATGGTACTTGCCATGCATCAGTGTTTTATGTGTATTGGAAATAAATAAGCAAAAAAATACCAAAGGAAACTGTGCTGCACTTACTCAAATTGCAATTTTCCCTCAATCAGTCCAACCCCCTCTACAGTCAGGGTGCCATCGCTCACTGGCACGGGGAGGGTGTTGGTGAAGACAATGATGGCAGTCTGCTCCTCATTCTGCACAATGTTGTGTTCATTGGCAAGCTGAAAGACAAACTTCAGTTTTATTTCTTTGTGATACCTGTACAAGCCTCCTGTTTCAAGAATGTTACTGCAAGAAAAACTGAAAGCAGGGCAGCAGCCATATCACCCTGCAACTCACAACCGGCTGCCCACTGAAGCTAAGCAGTGGAAGCCTGGCCAGTACCTGGTCTATGTGGGTCCTAATGCACCTGTATAGTGACGGGAACACTATGCTGTAAAAAGTTGCTGTCCTTCGGATGAGATGTAAAACCGAGGTCTTGACTCTCTGTGGTTATTAAAAATCCCAAGCCTTTTTTTTGAAAAGAGTAGGGGTGTTACCCTGGCGTCTTGCCCAAATTTTCCATTGGCCCTTACCAGTCATGGCCTCCTAATAGTCCCCATCTATAAATTGGCTTTATTACTCTGTTCTCCTCCCCACTAATAGCTGGTGTATGGGCAGTGTAATGGTGCACTATGGCTGCCGCCACATCATCCAGGTGGGACTGCACATTGGTAGTGATGGAGGGGAGTCCCCATTACCTGTAAAGCGCTTTGAGTGGAGTGTCCAGAAAAGCGCTATATAAGTGTAAACAATTACTATAATTATAATTACTTTTAGCTGAGACACATAAACGTATTCTTGCAAGTCTAAGCATTCACTCTGTAAATCTGTGAGGGTCTTGGTAATTTACAGTAACTCTAAAGTGAAAGTGAAAACTGCACTGAAGAACCATACTTTTTGTATATGATTACATGTTATGCAATTAAAATACTTCCTCAACGCATTTCACCCACGTGTTTGACCAAAATGATTCAAAATGTTTTTTGTGTGCTCAAAGCCTGTTCTCCTTATGCAGGGATGTGTAGCCCCACTGTGTGTAGGTTTCCATTCAACTCGATCTCTGCACCACCTGAGCTTCTTTTTGTCTTAACTGTGCCAATGTGACACCCAGCTCTCCAGGTGCTGGAGATACAGTAAAAAGAGATCTAAAACACCTGCTGGAATGTGACCCCTCCAGACAGGAAATGTGTACCTCTGCTTTATTGCATGACTTTGGGCATATTACTTTGAGAGAAGTCCTGCTGAGTTGCTCATGAGATGTGGATGAAAGCATGGAGCATACCTCAATTGAGATTGTTGGGCTGCTTATGTTGATTTCTTCTGATGCTAAAACACATTCCTTTGTTTCTTCATCCTCAATCACCACTGCCAGGTTCATCAGATTGTGTCCCACAAGTTCTTTGCCATAGAGGGAGTAGGGAATCTGGTGGTTTATGGTCTTAACTGTAGAAAAAAAGACAATATGAATGCATATTTACTTTTAATATAAGAACATGTTCACAGGTCAGCCTTTAATTAGTCTAAAAATTCATTTGGACTCTTCCAGTGGAAGGGAGGAAAAGTCATTTTGATTTCTATTTTTTTTTAGAAAAGAGAGTAGTTATACAATTTTTAGATCAGACGTGTGTTTTGTAAGGCTGTTTGAGGTCACAGACTTTGCTATTACTCAGAGCTGTATTTATTGTTTTAAAACTTCCCCAAATAAAATGTCTCAAACTGCACATTCTAATTAACTGATCCAATGACTTTTCTCTTCCAATCATAAATTAATGAACAAAAGCAGGAGTCCTGGGATGAAAGCAGCACAGAAATTACTTTTTATCAACCTACGGTGCAATTACAATGCAAACAGACAGCACATGTCAGAGAGTAATTAAAAGTCAAATCCTGGAGTAAATAAGGAAATGGCATGACCAACCTTGTACAGCAAGAATAATTAACATCAGAAATAACATTTGTATTCTTTTAGGTTACTGTTCCTATTATTGTCTTTAATAATTACACAAGCTGGAATGATGCAAACCAACATCTTCTCTATTGAGGCCTTTAGAAAATCACTCTAGCATTCATCTCATTATTCACTTTTAAATTTAAATTCTGAAGCGGACTTTTGTCTGTGAAATGTATACATACTATGGTATGCATTATTTGCAGCAATAACAGGTTGATGATTGATACATAGTAAAAGGCACAAGTACAAGCAGATTTGTTATGCAAATTAAACATGAAAAAAAGTAGCACTGATTCCTCAGATTACAGTATAAACAGCAGCTAGCAGCCATATCCCTCTGCAACTCATAACTGGCAACCCACTGAAGTTAAGCAGGTGTGAGCCTGGTCAATATCTGGATGGGAGACCTCCTGGGAAAAACTAAAGTTTCTGCTGGAAGAGGTGTTAGTGGGGCCAGCAGGGGGCACTCACCCTGCAGGCCATGTGGGTCCTAATGCTCAAGTATAGTGATGGGGACACTATACTGTAAACAAGCTCCATCCTTCGGATGAGACGTAAAACTGACTATCTGTGGTCATTAAAAATCCCAGGACGTTTCTCGAAAACAGTATGGGTGTAACCCTGTTATACTGGCCAAATTTCCCATTGGCCCTTACCAATCATGGCCTCCTAATAATCCCCATCAATGAATTGGCTTCATTACTCTGCTCTCCTCCCCACTAATAGCTGATGTGTGGTGAGTGTTCTGGCGCACTATGGCTGCTGCACCTTGGTGGTGATGGAAGGGAGTCCCCATTGCCTGTAAAGCGCTTTGAGTGGAGTGTCCAGAAAAACACTATATAAGTGTAAGGAATTATTTTTATAACAGCACACTGTAAGCAAATCCATGTGGCACAATGTTCTAGAGCACATTAGTTTGCATCGCTGTAGCTTGCGATAGTTACAGTTATAGAAACTTTACTATTTGAGCCAAGTCTGATCAATGAAAGACCTTTACCTTCAAAGGGCCCAATCTTAATGACGTTATAAGCTTCCCAGAAGGCCTTCAATGCACTGCTGTTGTACTCTTTGGCCTGACCATTGACACATTCCCTCAAGACCTTAGCAAAGTTGCTCTTATTGGTGATGTTTACAGTAAACTCTATGTTCTCCCCCATTATGGGTGGCTTCCTCATCAGCAGAGAGACTTCCACGCTTTTTCTCCCACCTTGAAAGGCAAAATGAAAGAAAGATTCCTGATTAGCACTTCAGTTTTGAGCTAATTCACAGCAGTATTTTTTTGCCATTTACAAAGAACAGAGGTTATATAAACTTTCAGGAATTTATGTTTGTGTTAGAGAAAACAGCAATTAAGCACAGATTAAAATATGTATGATTTATTGAATGTGTGAAGATGAACCATAGGTAAGTCAGAAAAACCCTATACTTGGTATGATATGTTAAAGCTGTGTATCTTCCAAAACACATATACATTATTTATTATTTATTTATTACTGCTTCATAAACACAATATTCCCCAGAAAAACTAAAAGAAGAAAGACTATAGAAGAACCTTACTTGGAAGTCTAAAGTCCTCTCTGCCGCCAAGTCCCCCTGAAGAAACAAACAACAATATCTATGAATAATTGTTTATTTTTCAGGCACATTTATTCTTCTATGAAACACAGAAGCTCCCCAAAATCAGCTTAGGTCAAGAAGTTCAAAATTACTTCATCTACTAAATTAAGAGAGGTTTTTACAGAATGTACAAGCTCAAAATCAAATCTAGCCAGAATACCAGGGTTTACATCTCTTCTCTTACAAGACCTTTAATGACCAATGTGATATTAATAATAATCTGTGTAAAACTATCTTAATTAAAAGCACTAGTTTAGTAATAGAATGTGTATGAGAAAAATATTTTTTTCTGGTCATCAGAAAGTGGAACAAATTGTTGAAAGGAAAACCAACTCTGAAAATAGTCCAATTAATTTACACTGTTAATGTATGTTGTATCAAGCTGTGATAAGGCTATGTGAACTCCATCACAGCAGAGGTGGGAGTAGGACTGGGTTAGAATTAGTGGACATTGAGGCTTTAGCCTGAAAGCCAATATGATGACAATGATAAATCACAGAAGTTTCCAGGTTTTCTTTCTTTGGCTTGGACATGTACTGTATCTAACTTTAACGACACTTCCACAAAACAGAGGAACCCTGTGTCCCTGAGAAGGGTGCATCACTGCTCTATCTCTGCTTGGATTCAATTGCAGTTGCTTGCAGGCTCAGAGCACACACAAAGCCTCTCCCTAGACAGTAAACCTCTATAAAACTCTAAACCTCCAAAACATGTGGTCTTCCTATGCTAAACAATTCTGCACTGTCTACGTTTCAGGAGGGGGTGATGTCACTTTCTATAACATCTTCAGTGCCACTGAGCCCTCTTACATAAAATGATTAAAGGCTAAAAGACCCTACAAAGTTAGTAAAACAGAAATCTTACCTCCATTGGTGGTCCTGTATGATGTGCCTGCTGTGAAGGAAAAGACACATGAGAATTACAAATTTCATCACACCTAACATTTAGAAAACAATCTTTTCATTAACTGCATGTTTGTCCTCTATTGGCACTGATTCATTTTCTCTACGATAAATAATATTGTTGGTAGACGGGCAATTAAGTTTTCCTTTAGTCAACAGAAACATATTTAACTGCATACACAATACTTCTGTACAACATTATATTGACACTTTGTGCATTTTAACACATGGATACATTTGGGTGACTGTAAGGCTCTGTTTTTACCTTTAGGGATCTTGTAGGCAGTGGTGATATTCTCATAGGTGTTCAGCCCAATGCTCTTGGTGCAGATCAAAGAGCCGATCCTTCCTCTGTCCACAGAGCGACTAATCTCTTGGTTGTTCCTCACAATGATGGTGTGTACATCAGCATTGACTTCCGCAAACACAAAGGGAACGTCATACAAGAGATTCACACATCCCCTTTTAATGGCTGTAACTGGAGATGGCCCGCAGCAAAACACTCCTGTGGAGAGACAATTATTTTATTTACAATTGCAATTGTCCCATTTGTTAAGAGCTTAATTTACAGTTAGGAAGTTTTGGGATAAACAAAAAGCTGGTAATATTGGATTGAATGAATTTTAGTGTGTGAGGTTAAATACTCCCAATGCCTCCATAAAGCATTATTTCTGTCGGTTTACTATAGTTTTATTTTTGGGATTGGGGCTACAGAGCTACCTAAAGCCTAAGCAGCAGTTATAAGATACAATAAATACATAATTATCGATTCAACAGCGCGTTTGTACTTTAATACAACTGTTTTCATGTTAAAAATGAACATTCCACATGCAGCATTGCAAAGCGGTTCTTTCCGATAGGATATGAGGCTAATTTTGGATTTACAGCTCATTCCCAAAAGAAGAGGTTCAGGAAATTCCGGCATCATTACCCTCGCTTCTTTCCTGGGGAGTTGGATCCAAAACCTGCCAGCCATCACATCCATAACCCAGATCAGGACGAGCCATCCAACACTCCACCCACACATGGAAATTCCTAAAAAATATATTTGCCCATTGTTTACACCATTGGTTTTAATATAGAAACTGAAGATGAAATCAGTATGGAGTATACACAAATTGTACTGCTCGCGATTGTCATCACCTAGCAGTACAACAACTGTATTGTTGGCTGTTATATTGAGGCATCCACATACAGCAAAAACATAGTAACCAATTAAAGGTTTTATTAAATTTGGAAATTGTGAAGGGACAGCCAAGTAGTTTTTTATGCTTTCAAAAGCAAGAAACACAATAATTCTTGGATGAACTATGATGTACAAGAGGGAAATCAAAAATATATACAAGCTGTACTTTTCATGCAGTCTGTCAAACAATGGAGTTATATTGACATGAACAAAGACTTCTCAAGTCAGTCTTCTAACTTTTGACTATTCTAACTCATATCCCAAAAAGGTACGAGTTAGAATAACCATCACATCCAGCCACCATGTCTTTTGAAGGTGGGAGATGGAAGTATCAGGTGAAAGCAGAGAGAACACGCAAACTCCACACAGACAGCTACGCAAAACTAGAATTAAATCCGTGACAGTGGGTCTGCTAACTACCATGTTATTATACTGGACCAGAGAAAGAGGTTTCCTTTGTGACCTAGTGATAGGTCAATCACACTTTCAAAAAATAAAACAACAGACCAAAAAGGAATGAAAATCCCATCTCTGAAATCCCATGTTGCAGGAAGATCATATAGTTTTTTTATTAGAAATAAAAATAAAATATGCTACCACAAGGAGTCTCTTTTCATGCGTTCAGTTATAACAGTTCAGAAATAAGAAGTCATAATTTTACAATGTGAACAAATTGTGTGAGAGTGTGGTGAGCAAATGGAAACAGTGAATTGAATTTAGGGTAATAACAGAATAATGAGGCATGGGGTCAAGATAACTTTGAAATTTCAGCCAGTCTTACCATATGCTGTCTGCAGAAATGTTTAATTTTTCTCCTCTGTCACTGTAGTACTCTTCAATGATCATGTTGGCATTAGTATCATGGGCAGAGTTGAAGTTTGTGACAACTCGTGTCGGGATTCCCAGGACCCTCATCACTAACAGCACATGTGTAAAGAAGAGACAGGTTAAAATACTGCTGGCATCTGTCAATCTCATCTGTATCTCACAAGAGGGGGCTCCCCCAGTATGAGAAGGTCTTAACGACACTCGCTGAAAGTATTCCTGAATGGGGTTTCCCTGAGAGGACTGTGAGAAGAAACAGAAGTCTTTCAGAGTTACACAGGGGTCAGTGCTCTTCAGAGCACGGTGGGAGGCATTTTCAGTTCCCCACTCTCAGTCATCTTTGTCAGACTGTTTTCAGGTTAAGCAAAGACAAAGAGAGGACCAAACAAAGGGAAATCCTCTCTGTCTTGCAGAGTACAAGATTTCATCACCCTTTAGAACATTAGGTATTGGACACATTTCCAGGCTGTGTGCCAAGAAAAAGCTTTAAACAGCAGATTAGTGTACACTCACCCAAACCAGTTATTGGCAACAAAATTACAAGCCTGTTAAAATGCCCTATTATAAAGAGTTACTTCAGAGGGAAATTAAACTGTTCAACTACACCTCAGTAAAAGATTGCCAGTTCCTGAAGTACCTGTACACATGACGGCCGCGTAGACCCAGCACTGGCCATACCGCACTGGACTGAATTTGGACCTTGCCCATTGCTGTAGGATTTCGGCACTCCCTGTCCAGTCTGAGGGGTTGACCCCACTGCTGTAGTCCCCTGACCAGTTCCCCTTGAGGACTCCGCGATCATCCTCACAGTTAATCTGGTAGCAGGTTTGAAAAAGTAATGTTTGTGAATTAAATACAGAACCAAAAGAAGTCTAAACTAAAAGAAGTGTTCCATATACTTGCATCACAACAGAAAAGCTTAAAATAGGATTCTCGCACTCTACTTACCATGGCACACACAACTCTGCTTATGTACACTGGGTCCCGTCGGCTGAAATAGTCTCTTCCACTGTTTCTTCCATGTTGGGGACTTATTTGAAGCAAATTCAGACAAATCTCCAGTATCCCTTCTTCAAACTGCATTTTTTAAAACAGGGAAATAATGAGATCAGAAATGGGGGATGAATCCTTCTAACCACTGTTTTGGAGTAAGCACTCTTGTTATTCTTAACATACATGCAGGAAGATGTTTATGAGCAAGGTATCTCTTTAAAAAGTTTGGTGTAAAGACACATTTTGAAAAACCAAAGGCATTTTGAGTCAGTTCACTGTTATTTTTCAAGACTCCTTTAACTCCAGTTGAAGAAGCACAGGTATTTCCAGCTACATTATCGAATATTGAATTCCCACGGCAACACTAAATCATGTGTGCAATGTAAGCCCTGTCAAGAACTAGCATCTTGTCCAGAGTGCAGTCCTGCTTTGTGCCCTATTTGTCTAGGTTCCAGCTTGCCAGGACCTTATCAGGGAACTTGTTTATCAGGAATATGCAGGTTTCTGACAATGGACAGATGGAAGCACAGAGTTTTTCTGAAGAGGTGCACCTTGAATGCAGATACTGTAAATAACTCGACCCCTCCACACCTCAACCCCCACTTTCCTGTTTCATTTTTCTCACCTGACCAAAAGCCCATGGCCGAGACTCCATATTTTGGGGTGTACCCGTGTAGATAAACCCAAAGTCATTCTTGACGTATTCCTCTCTCTGGTTTTCCCCAGGCAGGAAGACGGAGTCCCCTACGAGACACACGAAAAAATCTTTGAAAACTGGGGCATTATACCAGAACAAAGTTGTCAATCAGTTCTTTCTTCATCATCAGTTTTTACTAGTCTACTTTCTAATTCCACGTCATTCCACATTCCGTCTGACTCTCCTCAAATGTTACTATACTGTCGAAAGTATATGTTTGCTGTCATAACCTGCCGATTGAATTAAAAGAAAAGGCTGTCACAAAGTCACTTTGTCGGTAGTACATTACAGATTGAGATTCACTAAGAACGCACTACATTCTTATGAAGACCAGAGAACTGAACTTACCACGGCACCAAGGATTGAACAGCAGAATGAAATCTCCGATGATGTAGTTGCGTGTCTGATACTGAGACTGAACCTTAAAGTGGAGAGTGTAGAGCCCTATCGAAGCAGAAGGAGGTGCGGAGATTTGCACTGACAGGGACTTGGAGTAAACGTCTCCTTGCAGAATCTGTGCATTCCAACCAGACTGGGGATTGTGCATTGCGAAAGAGGCTGGGAATGCAACATATGATCTATCTATAGGGAAAAAAAGGTTCAGAGAAGAGCATTCGGTCATGATACATCCAAAACACAAAACATAAAAAGAACTGTTTTGCTCACTTGCATGGTTTGTGAACATGTTTCTATATTCCAGGGACTCCACTAGGCTCACATAGGACAAAGACAGTTAAAAAAATCAAAGCTTCATTTCATGTGGAGGCTAACAACATAATTCCAGGGAATAAATCAATTTTTAATAACGGAGACACTTATCTTTATTTTCCAAAGACAAGGAGAGTCCTGCATATCAATATCAACTCCTTATGAAACCACATACTGTGAAAGCATCAAGAACACAAATGAAAAGTGCTCACTCCTAGTTTTAGGAACAAAATAATAGCATTTATTTCATGGAGGACCAGAAGGGGTACTCAGTTGAGCACAATTACAGTAGATTGTTTAGTTTGGAATGTGTTAATTGAGGTTTTACGTTCAGACAAAAGTAGATTTCCCTTAGAAATCTGAACTTGAACACAAGTTTCTTGAAGGAAGAAAGGCAATGGTAGCGTTTGCCACCGTGACAAAATTCTGGTGGGAAGCCCAATTACAGCCGCAGGTCATTACCTAAGAAAGCTGCAAATGTCAAAGTGTCCACCTGCGAATCATAGCCCCGACCCTCAAAGAACAAGGTGACTTTGAAGGGCACCCCTCGGCGCACCACCAGAGACCTCGAGCTCAAACCCTGGGTCTGGTGGTTCCTGTGGTTGCTCTGCTGCTCCATGTTGGTGTATTTAAGTCTTAGACCTTTAAAAGAGAAGAAAAGGGTCAGCAAAACCAAAGGGTAGAGAAGACAGTTTTACTCAGTGCAGGGGATTCAATCTCTCATGATTTAATCTCTGAGGTGCCAGAGATCTACAAGGCAATGTTACTCGTTTTCCTCTGTACAGTAATTATGTTTGACTTTTCTTTGTCTTTTGTTTGCATTTTGACATGCTGCAGCTCTGCGCTTTATCGTGGTCTCTGCTGCACTACACTGTGCTGGTCTTTTAACTTTTACAGCAGTTAAGTTTTTAAAGTTCCCTGCTGGCAATATTGTAGGTAAGTA